GGCTGGGAGCCGTACGAGTTGTGTCTGGAGAGCGGGTGGGCGTACTGCTGCGGTCGCGCTTGCTGGGCGAGACTGTGTCCCTCGAGGTTGGCGGCATTGCGCAGGAACGGGGCGTGGGCGGGGGCAGGAGCGATGTTGTTGTAGGCCACGGAGGAGGGAAGCTGCGACGGCGGCTGCGGGGGGTACTGCCGAACCATAGTCATGGTGAGATATCAGACAAGTCGTGGGAGTGGTGTTCAGAGGGTCGACACAGCCTCACCAGGAGCGACTGGTGCCGATGCCTTCGCGAAATCGTCGCCTGTCTGCTACGACTGACATGTCTTTTGGGGCGTGGCTCGGATTCCTCAGCACCGGGCGTCCCCGTACTGGCACGTCACCAGCAGAGACCCCGGCAGTAGCGGGAGAACAGGTGGTCGCAGATGCTGTCGGCAGCAGGTAGGCGTCTATTTACGGCGCCGGTAATGACGGGTGTGTGTCGCGGGGTTGGATGGGAGCGGAGTGTGGCGGTGGCCCCAGGCGTCAGCGCGCGATGGATGAAGATGTGCAGCGAGGAGCGGTGGCCGGTGGTGTAGGTATGTAAGGGCGGGTCCCTAGACGTGTCTGTCTGGAATGTACCCACTCGCATGCACCAGAGCCGCCGGTCTGGCTGCGCACTCGCGGGCGGATAGTTTGCGCGTTCGTGGGACGCGGTCGGGCGTCGTGTCGCGGAACGGGAGTCGTCTGCGCGGAGGGCGCACAGCAGCGGGCTTGGGGCACAGGATAAGCGTGGTACGGGCGGCGACCTGGGGCGCAGCAGCGGTCCGTCACGTCGTCTCTGCCTGGCTGCGTGTCTGCAGCGGTCCAGCGCCCGAGTCGGAGGGCGAGAATGTCAGCGCTCAGCAGGTGCGGCGATGCCTGCTTTTTCTCACTGTCGGCGGATAGGCGGGCGCGAGAGATGACGAGGTGTGGTGCGGCGGAGACCAAGCAGCGGCAGGCCTATCCACTTCCGTATGCACTCAGTCGTTCGAGTGGTGGCTTGGAGCGATCCCTGCTGCAACACGACAGGCCGTCTGGGGGTTTCCGGAGATGATCGATGATCGATGATCGCGCTCTACGCAAGACGTGTCAGGCGCCGGATGTCAATACACGTGAAGACCGAAAGACTGAGTGCCGCTCGCTGCTACACCGACTCGATGAAAAGAAAAGTCGGTCCTGATGCTCTCCGCATCGCGCGTCGCCAACTCCACCTGGGCGGGCTGCAGAGCCATCAAGCCGCCAGAGACGGCGGCTTACCAGGGCCCTAGTCCCATCCAACGTTCACGGCGATCTCCAGCGCCAATCAGCCTTCTAATCCACCAGCGCGTCCATCAATGCAGGTGCCGCAATATCCACTGGGCCACCACCATGCATCCAGCGTCCAACAGCCCGCCGTGCCCGTTCTTTGTCACCTAGTCAGGCCGGCCCTTTTGCTCGAGCTCTGATGATGTAGCCTGGGGCGCCCGAAACGCCCTTTGTATTTAGGCGAGACTACCGCCGCATATACGGCTGCAGCTGCTTGTCTGACTGAGACGGCTGCATATCTGTCTTCACATGTCGAACCACGATTATAGTAACTCATCACTGATGCCATGTTTCATGTGCCAGGTGCATGTCGATCCGCATAGCGTACCAAGAATGCGGCACCGGACGGAGCGGAAGCTGTGTATTCGACAGCACATGACCATGAGCAGGAACTCAATGTGCATGTATGTTGACCTCGAAAAAGGACCACTGGAGCCAAACCAAAAGGCAAGACAACGCGGTGAGTAATGGGTCATTTCTCTTCTTCACACCAAAATAGGCCTATACAGTAAGGGAAGTAAGGGCCAGAGTGTTGGTGAAGTGAACATCACGAGCATAATGTCGCCGCCAGAACCATGCCAGCATACATGGTTCGGAGCATATCCAGGGAGCGACGTAGTGAGCTGGCTTGATTCTGATATCCAAGTTTGCTTGTCGGGACTGTACGTGGAAGCACCGCATGCGCCCAGGCGACACGAAGCGGCGCTGTTCCAGGCGAGCATCAACGCCTTGCCGCAATGGCCAGACGTGCGCCTCATCGCCAAAGGCGTAGAGTAGATGCAGGTACTCAGGAAAGAGCGGTGGTTAGTATGAAATGTAGTTCGATGGGTCCCTGACTGTATACTGTGCGCCCAGCCACTGCTCATTGGCAAGTTTGCATGCGGATGCAATAGCGATGATGGCTGAGAGTAACAAACAGTAGAGTGCAGACCAGTGCGTGCAGCCGTGAATGCGACGAGAAAGAACTGTGGTAAAAGTTGGTGTTTGCGATGTCGAGAACTGGAGTTGCAGCTCGCAGAGATTTTATTGTGTCGGGGGTGGCTTAGTCATGCCGCGCTCGGCCCTACCATTCGCAATGTGGCATCATTACGAATGTTCCACGGTGGTCAGACGCTGAGCCTATATTCCTCCGGACGCCCTCCACAACAAAGGATTCTCGCACAGGCACCGCTGCACTCACCTCACCGAACGTCACGAGTCTCCCTTTCACCATGGAAGAGCAAGGTCCCCCACCGCAGCAGGGTCCCCCTCAAGGCGGGCCACCACCAGGCTCGTTTTCTATTCCCATTCCCCTCGGACCCAATGGCGAAAAGCCTACGCCAGAGCAAATACAACAGATCAAAATGCAACTAGAGGCCGAGGCAGCGAAACACGGTATCACGGTTCAAGAATACGTCGGAAGATTGCGCCAGCAAGCCATGGCCCAGCAACAGGCGCAAATGCAGGCGCAACAGCGTGCTCAGCAGCAGCAACAACAGCCCATCCAGCCCGGTCCTCCCAAGCCAGAAGCCATTGCTGTCGCCAACTGGCTGAAGTCGCAGGACCTGAAACCTAGGACAGTCGTACATGATGAAAAGAGGAAGGACATGTTCAAAGGTGGGCATTGCACACACCTCAGTTAGACGTTATACTCACCCCCAACAGTCAAGCGAGCAATCCGTGCCCTCCAGTCTCCCGCATATCAAAAAGCCCGAGCAAAGAACCCTCTCCTCCCCGAAGTCATCGATCGTGCCTCCGCCGAGAACTGCTTCAAGCTGCTACCCCTCTCTCTCCTCGCGCTGCGAGTCACAAAGGTCGACGACCATGCGCACGATGGCCACAACCACGCCAAGCCTAAGCGCGTCAAGGGTCTGTGGACAGTCAAGATCGAGCAGCACCAAGACGCGAACGACGACAACTACTACATCTGGCTGTACGAGGGGTCGCAATGGAAGCAGAAGCTGTATGCTGTTGGCGCACTGCTTCTCGTCATCACGATAGTGCTCTTCCCTCTATGGCCGCTTTTCTTGCGACAGGGCGTGTGGTACTTGAGTATGGGCATGCTTGGTCTTATCGGATTGTTCTTCGCCATGGCGATTGTTCGTCTCATTATCTTCATCATCACCGTCTTCACGATACCACCTGGCTTCTGGCTCTACCCTAATCTGTTTGAGGATGTTGGTTTCTTCGACTCGTTCCGGCCTGTCTACGCATGGCAAGAGGTATGTTTCCTTTGCTGAAGCTTGTAGACTCAAAGCTAATGTTTCCAGACCCCCGAAGACATCAAGGCGAAGAAGGCTGCAAAGAAGGAGAAGAAGGCTGCCAAACTCGCCGCAAAGGCCGCCGGTGGAAAACCCAAGAAGGGCGCCATCGACGCTGCCCCCGTTCAAACTGCACCAGCGCCCGCTACTACCCCCGCCTCCGAGCCCGTCAACTCTGCACCACAGCCCACCGGTTCAGAGGCCGCACCAGAGGGTGCTGTCACACAACGGGCGCCGCGCGCAACGGTGGAGGAGGTAGAGGAGGAGTAGAAATCCTTCTTAGAAGAGGATTGCACGTACTCTGATGAAGAGGTAGAGGACGCGTACTCATCGGACTGACAGCGGTTTGACACTTTGCATGGGTTAGCTGGACGGAGCAATAGGCGTTTATGAGAACGGTTCACATCCATCCACATCTATGCACGCAGCAGAGACTTGGAAACGGATTATAGGGCATGGGGTGTCTGGCGGATACCAGGGTGTTTGTGCATGTACATGTTTAGTGTAGCGATTCTTTCTTGCTACATACTCCAATTCGATCACTCGACATATCTTCAACTTGTATACTTGATACCCACGGGACGTATACCGGGTAACACCATGCCAGATGCCTACTACGCCACCTTTTAAACTTACACTTTATTGCCCCAACAACTTTCTGACAACTGTCTACCAACGAACCAGAAAACTCTGCTTGAGCACTGTCCCATCACCAACAAGCCCTCCACCCAAACACCGTCTCCCAACCACCAACAAAGCCACGTACACAACGCGGGGTACGCATCCAATCAATCCGAAGTGGGGTTCCCTGTCATGCCTACTCATTTTTTTCTTGACTCTATCCGCTATCGATTGATTGCGCGCGGGCGTAAAGGCAAACGCTTAATGTACATCAAACAAGGTCGATTCATGTCCCGCGAAAAACGAAAAACTCTACACGTGGGTGATTACGGTAGTTCGCTTACGCCGAGGTGGGGAAGGGACGGGATGAACGGTTGTTGCATTCGGTTCGGGGGTTGGTAGCTGGGATGGCCTTGGTGTTGGGATGGGTGTGGTAAAGTTGGGTGGAGGGGGTTCGTACGAGGGTTTGTTGGTGAGAACACTAGGATGGTATGGAAATCAGCATGTTGGCATGGTGGGTTTCGTGCATTCAAATTGGGAGAGCAAATCGTGGGTAGACGTGGAGACTAAGCTGGGAAGGAAGTGGAGAATTGCGGTTTCATGCGTGCAAATGAAGAAACGAGTCGGGATAACAGGTATCTTCACTACATCCAGCAAATGTGCTGGAGGAAAACTCGTCCTTCTCGTACCGGAGAATTATCCTAAACGCCATTCAACCATGCAGCATAATCATTTTTTCCTGCGCCAGCACGCTTCGTCAATGTCATATGATGAGGCGCCCGAACCAAACGCCCTTGAAACACAGTCTAGCGAGAATTCCTACTCCGCTGATCCAGGTGGCTGACCGCCCTCGATACCTTGGTCTGTGTTTTCATGAGTCGAGGCAGGAGCGAGGCCAGAGTGGACGGTGGGGGAGTGGGTGACTTGGCTGGTGGGGTTTTGGTCTGCTAGTTGGCGCTCTGGGTTCGAAATGTTAGCACCGCGCTTCAATGTAGTGGCTGGGAAATGACATACCAAGTTCTCTTATCCTTAGCTTCAGCATCTGGTTCTCGCGGGTCAGGTTCTGGGTTTCGGCTTGGTAGAAAGCACTCTCGTCTCTTGAAGTCGCGGGGCTGGGAAGCATATCGTGGGGGTCGTAGGGTCCTGCTTGGCCTGATATAGGACGCAGGGCTGGAGATCCGGCATGGCTGCTGTGTCGCGAACGGTCGGCAAAGGATGACTGGCGACTGATGGTACCGAAGCCGAATGGAGAGCGGGACCGAGGGTGAGTTGCAGATGGCAAGGGTGAGACGATAGGTGGTGAGATGTGTGTGGACTGTGTGAGGGAGGGAGGTATAGACATGGAACGCTCTGAGGTCGGGGTGCTGTCGTCGACGGCGGAAGCAGAGGGCTGCTGCTGGTTTGCTTGGAGGGTGTTGATCTGGGTTTGTTGGGAACGGATCATGTTGAGTAGTCGGTTCTACAGATGTCAGTATAAAGATACTTGCTAGACAGAAAAGCAGTAAAAGCAGTGGTTTGCTCTACACTCTGCCATCATAATAGGAACTCACCACCTGTCCTTCCTGCTCATACTCCAGCTCTTGGTGCAGCTCTCCCAAACTAGGCGCACGCTCATGGTGCGGGCTATGCGGCCATGGACCCCTGCTACGGGAGGATGGGCTCTGCTGCATTTCTCCAGGTGCCGGGATAGCTGGGTCGTTCAAGTTGAGGTTCATGCGAATGCTGGACCGGCGACGCGCACGCTCGACATCCCTGCGCATACTACCCGAAGAAGGTCGACGCGTCTCTTCATTGTGAATACCTGCATTCATCGCGGCAGTGGCAGCGAGAGAGTGCGGTGAAGTAGCCATGGAGCGTGAGTTTGTGGGTGACTGGTTGCGGGGTGAGGGAGATGCATGGGGAGACGCGGGCAGGGTGTTCAGATCGGGCGCCATGGTACTTGGGACTCTTAGGTGGTGGTGTGATGTGCCGTCCTAAGAATGAGGCGCGGGCATAGGATGAAGTCACCAGCGACGCGTGACCTGGTGCTGAGCTCCCGTTCGATGAGGTTGGTGGGGTGAGCGGGGCTAAGCGTGACACCTGGGCGGCCCTGAGCACGGCCAGCGCTACTGCAAGGTACACCTGCGCCCACGCCGCATCCTCCCCAGGTCAGCCTCATTTCCTTTTGCTGTCTGTTTCCTCGCTCCAGCCCTGCGAAATCTCGCGCCGCAATAAGATTCGCACTATTCCCACTGTGCATGCCACCCTTGTGCAGCGGCGGGCATCTTCGCTCGACAATCGATACGTGCATGCACCTCGCCGTCTGCGTCACACCTGAGACGACCTCACCACTATGCAAAACGCCCCGAGTTGTGTCGCTCTACATAGAGCACTCCCCGGGTACTTCTGCCGCAGTGCCAGCGCTGCTTTTTCGCGCCCTCACCACATGTTCTCAGATGCGTGTTTGGCGGGAAGGGGCCATGGGTTCCGCAATAAGGAATATCGAGCTTGCGAACCCCATCCAATATCTCCGAGTATTGACTGTCGGCGATCATTCATGCCGACGTGTCGTAGATCGTGCAGGCCTCGACTCCAGTCACGACGCGGTGCAATCAAATCTCCACGTTGGGCCAGCACGCCAGCAAGCTTCAGCGACGGCCTTGGGCACAGTGGCCCGAGGCTGCCGCTGAAACATCGTGGCTGCACGTCGACAATCTTCATCGTCGTCGGCGCCTGATGAGATCCCGCTGCGTCCGGGCAGCACACCTTCGCCAGCTGGCGTCGAGTCTATTATGTAGCTTGCGAGCACTGTCAAAAGACGTTGTGCCGACACTTCACCGGCTAGCCAGGTCAAACACGCCAATTTTGGCCAGGCGAGCGCTAGCGTGCGGCGCCATCGCATCCCTCCCAACTTTCTTCTGAATATGACCGTAAAGGGGCCTTCGTGCAGCCCCTGCGTCCTCGCATCACACACGACGGAACCTGGGAACAGCTCCCCCTGTACGCTACCATGATTAGGGAGCATTCATCTGCGGCAACTAACGCTTGCCACTTTTCCTCTCCACGACTCAACTCAACGTTGACAAGTCGTTTCAGTCCCGTCTGCTTTCCTCTGCTTCCGTCATATCTGCAGCTCGTTCTGCTTCTCTAGGGGCTCATGTCCTGTCCTCTCGTTTGATCTCTCCTCTCCTAGTATTATACTCCTGCCACCTATACCACGCTCCTTCTACCCCCAACCTGGCAATCTCCACACTCTCTACCGGCGCACTGTTCTCGCCATACTGCAGCACTACACTATTACTCCCACGACAAACTACTTTCTACTGACTCCATACTTTGACTCGGTCCGACGGTTTGCTTACGCTGAATGCAAGCCTACCCTGTCAGGGTCTTGAGGAACGCTTGGATTGCCCGTGCAACCAATTTGCACGACCTGGATTGCCCGCCCACATCTACCGTTTGAGCCAACGTTGCTCTGGTATCGACCGTACTTCGCCGGCTTCATAAGCCAAGGTCGCCCACCATGTCCGCCCTTTCTGGCCAAATCTTTGCTGCTTCGTCCAATCCTGTCGGCAACATGCGGAACAAGACACACAGCTCATCGATGTCGTCTCGATGGCGCTTCAATCGATCCACCGCGACTCTGCAGGAACCGGAACGGTCACCATCCGTCGCATCACAAACACCGTCGATAGCGAAGAAACAGGCCCCGTTGCCAGCACCTCCTAAGAAAGTGGAACGCGTTGCCTCCAAGATGTCGTTGTTCAGCCTCTTCAGTAAACCCAAAGTAGAGAAAGCTCGCGGGCACACCGAGGTTGGCCTTGCCGTACCAATGCGACCGCAGACGCCACCTAAACCCAGCCCACCGATCTCCATACCGAAGTCTTCTCTCCGACAGAACCCTTCTCCGCCCGCCCAGCAGACGATTCGCGCACGCTCAAGCCAGATCTTCCGACCCGTTTCGATGCGACCAGCTGCATTACACCACGAGTTCGGAAACTGGGATCCACCTCCGCTGTTCCAGGCTTTCCCGCAGTCTTTGAAGCATGCTACCGTACAGGCATGTGTGTTCGCCCCGGAGATCCTGATGAGGACACAAAGTCAGAGACAACAGGCTGAATCGCTGCGCGAGAAGTTAGACATCCAGCGCGACTTGTCTACCATCGCAGAGAACGGCGCAGAGACTAAGAAACTAGAAAAGAACCACAAGCGCCTCATGTCCAACTCGGTGCTGAACCCACAACCTCCGGAGCTTGTCAACAAGATATACATTCTGGTCACGGCCGGCTTTGTGCTACAGTATGCCGGTGATGGCGCGTTCGATCGCTTGCCTGAAAAGGTGCTCAAACTCGGCAAGGAATCAGCGGCATTTGCGTGCGATCTCATACCTGGCAAGCACTGGGTGCTACAGATATCCAGCCACGCAAGCGACGACGGAACATTCGAATCGGGACCAAAGAACTCTCTTCTCGCTCGGTTACGAACACAAAATGCCACCATGCGCAAGACAGCCACAAGCTTTCTCCTCGTTCTTGAGAGTGCGGAAGAGATGGACGAGTGGATGACCAGTGTGCGTAAGGAGATCGACAGCCTCGGCGGCATGAAGGCAAAGGATGACTACGCGCGAGCGTCCTCTTCTACAGATGACTCCGCTGGCAAGAACTCCTCAGAAACAACTAGTCACCGGTACAGGGTCAACCGCGACCCAAATGCTGTCAGCAGGATCGTGTCCACGGAGCCGCAGCTTTCAACGTCGCCGAAGATCGTGGCCTCTGAATGGGACGCCAGTGAAAAGGACCAGACCAAGATTAGCATCGACTCTTCTAGTGGACAGTCGGCTCGGTATAACAACAACAATAACAGCCGCATCTCGATCGAAATGTCATCCGTTGCTTCGACGCCTGTCTCTCAGCATCAAGTACAGCTTGACCAGCTTCGCGGACGGTCCCGATACTCGTTCATGTCGACAGCGACGTCAGCTTCAGGCGCAGGCACCCGCAACACATCGCGGGAGTCGTCTCCAGCACCACACTCCCCTCTCAAAGACGAGTTCACCACTGGAGAGAGTGAGCCCATGCGAAGTGCCATGTCGCTGCGGTCATTCCACATGAACCCCAGTAACTCTATGTCGTCTCGCCGCAGGTCAATGCAGCCGTTGCCAATCACCAATGAGCACTTGATTCAGACCACGACTGTGCCCTCTACAATCAAGCGACATTCTTTGTACAGCCCGGTCTCTCCGACAGTGCCAGAACTAGGGAAGCCGTTCGTCGCGGGCCCGGTCGTACCAGTGAAGGAGGAGGCAGCTCCCGGCACGGTCGACAACGCGCCAGCCCGCTCGTCTCCCTCTCAGCCGAAAATCGATACTTCCGTTCAGGCCGCTAGCGATGACGTTGTACCCACTCGTGAGGATAGCCCAGTACGGTTCAACGCGCACATCTACAGCGCTACACCTCGACGGGACACCATTTCACCTCCTCCCAAAGACCCTGCTCCTTTACCCCCGCCACCCGCCCAGCGTCAGTCAATGATGGGCCCAGCACCAATGTATGCTTCTACTGCCAGTGCTGGTGATGGCAAGACTCGTCGCCGGATCTCGCCAAAGCCCTTCTTACGCCCATTTCCAGTTCGTCCTCAAGCACAGCATGGCGACTCGTCCACGATCCTGCCAAGGCGGCAGTCTTCTCTTACGCCTTCGCCAACGCCTTCGCCACTGCCATCTGGTATGGTCATGAATCGATCGGTCACTGCCCCTGTAAGGCCGCCGTCGGCAGCTTCGAACATGACGCCCACCACCAACCCACACAGTCTGCATTCCGCGCAAGCATCGCAACAACTGCGCCGTCCTGCTTCGGTACAAGTACGCTCAGCCGACCACGCGCCTTTCCTGTCAAACCGCCCAATTCGCGCCATCGCATCCACACCGTCCTTTGTTCCCGGCCGAAGAATGTCCAACGCACTTGCTCCATCATCAGACACCAGATCTCACAAGCCAACACCCAGTGTCGAAGCACTCCGACAGCAAGCTTTCGCGCAGCAAAAGACCATTACACCCCGACGAAGCCTTGCATCCATGGGCCTACCGCCACCCGCCCCACCACCAACCATGCCACTACCGACACTACCGACCCCACCGCGCAACCTAACTTCACCCACACCACCACCCAACATGCCGCTCCCTCCACCACCACCATCGAGCATGGGTCTCCCCGCTCCGCCACCCACCATGCCATTGCCTCCCACACCACCCGAGGCCGCGTTACGTGCTTCGGCAGTCTAAAACAAATCTGTTACAACCCCGATATTGATATTGTCTATACCCGCTGGCGTTTGGATCCCAAGCGACCAGGATGTGGTCGTTACGTCGTCATGTCTTTTCTTACGTCCCTGTTATGCCGACCGATACAAAATCTTGTTATTTGCTTGTCGCGCGATACCAGTCTGCTTATTTACCGTCGTCCTCGCTACTGCCATCATTTTCCTTTATGCTTGTCACCTGCTTCGCTTCGTTGTGTATCCTTAAAAGTTTACGCTTCATGTATTTTGCCCTTACACCACTCCTTTCATCTTCTTCGATTCGTTTTCCTTCGGGAAGGGGGGGCTGTGCCCGTTTTAGTGCTTTGGGTCGCTTTTTTCTTTTCGTGGTAATGAATTAGGGCTTGGGTGGCTGCTCTTTTTGGATTTCTATACCACATTGGGATGGAGGGATATGGGATATTGGGGACACGAACACAGA